TAAGATAAGCTTCCTTTTTCATGGAGCTCAAACACCAGTTGACAGGTGATCGTCAGCCTAATCTAAGGGCCCCATCCAACCTCCTGACATCCCATGTGGGCAACTGCTACAGCTCACCCAGCTTGCCAGGCCTGACCACTGACTTCCTGCCAGGCAGAGTTCTTACTGTGGCTGGGGACAGGCTTGTCCTGCCTCAGATCTTCACAGTCACTATCTGTCCTCAACATTGGGGGATGGGAGTGGCTAGAACATCAGTCAGGCCTGCCAGCATCTCACACTAGGATGCAACAGCTCTGTGAACAGGTGGCTAAAACACAAGCACTTACTGTGCTGGGCCCTGTGCTCAAAGTCTAAGATCAGCTAGGGCATTTTACTTCCATTTGACAAATGAGGAGGCTGAGGCTCAGAGTAGGTAAATAACCTTCTTGAAGTCTCACAGCTTGTAAGTAGTCATGTTGGAACCCAGGCCATCAGAAGTGGGGTGTTGCTTATAACAAATACTTGAAAATGTAGACGTGTCTTTGGAACTGGGTGTTGAGGAGAGGCTGAAAATCAGAAGTGGGGTGTTGCTTATAACAAATACTTGAAAATGTAGACGTGTCTTTGGAACTGGAACTGGAATTTGAAGGAGCAGTCTAGAAAAAGCCCAGCTGCCAGCGGGAGTTTAGAAGAAAACCAGGGAAAGTTTGGAATTTCTAAGTGACTTGTTAAACGGCAGTGAGCAGAATGCTGATAGAAACATGGACTGTAAATGACATACTGAGAAGATCTCAGATGTAAATGAGAAGGGACTTATAGGAAACTGGGGCAAAGATCACCCTTGCTATGAACTGGCAAGGAACTTGGCTGCATTCTGTTCATGTCCAAAAGTTTTATGGAATGTGGAACTTCAAGGTGCTGACCCAGGGTATCTAGCAGAAGAAATTTCTAAATGGCAAAGCATTCGCGAAGCTGCATGGCTACTTGCAACAGCCTATGCTGAGTTATGGCGGAAAAGGCATGACATAAAGCCAGAAATTTATAATTCAAAAGAAAGCAGAGGGCAAAAAGTTGGAAAACTTTAAGCCTGGCCATGTGGTAGAGAAGCAGAGAGTATTTTCAGGAGAAAAATGCAACGGTGCAGCCCAGTGACCCTTTGCTAAGATTAGTACAAAAGAACAGGATTATCAAGAGAAAGGGGGAAAGGCCCTGAAAGCATTGCAGAAGCCTCTGGGGCCAACCCTTCCATCACAGGTCTAGTGGCCTAGGACTAAACAGAATGGCCTCAGGAAACAGGCCTGAGGCACCCTCGATGGGCTCACTGCCCAAGGCCACATCAGAAAGCTGCTTCCTGCACACCCCATCTGCTTTGGCTGCTCCAGATGTGGCTAAATTGGCCCCAGGTGTGACTGGACCCACAGCTTTGGAAGATACAAGCCAGAAGCATTGGCAGTATCCATGTGGTGTTAAATCTGCAAGGCCGCAAAATGTCAGAGTGATGGAAACTTGGAAGCCTCCACCCCAATTTCAAAGGATGTATGGAAAAGCCTGGGGGCCTAGGAAGAGATCTGTTGCAGGGGCAGATTTACCACATAGAGTCTTTGCTAGAATGATGCTAAAAGGAAATGTGGGATAAGAGTTGCAGCAGAGAAACCCCATCAGCACCATGCCTAGCACCATGACAGAGGGACCACAATGGAGAATCCAGAACTGTGGAGCTACCAACCTGCAATGCCCGCCTGGGAGAGCTGAAGCATGTCCTCAGACCAGGAAAGCCATAGAAGTGGAGCTGGCTGAAGACTTGGGGACCCAACCCCCATACCAGTCTGAGGAGAATGCCAGACATGGAGACAAGGTACGTGATTCACCAGCTTTGATATTTAATACCTGCCCTGCTGGGTTTCAGACTTGCTTAAGGTCTGTTACCCCTTTCTTTTGGTCTATTTCTTCCTTTTTGAATGGGAACATGCACTCTATGCTTGTCCCACCATTATATCTTGGCAGTAGATAATTTGTTTTGATTTCACAGATGGGACTTTGAACTTTGGACTTCTGAGTTGAAACAAATTAGGACTTAGGGGATGGAATGGAATGAATTTACCTGGGAGAAAGACATAAGTTTTGGGGGTCGGGGCAGAATGATATGGATTGACTTGTGTCCCCCAGGTTTTATGATCAGAGGGTGGGAAATCCTATTATGGTAATTGAAAGGTGGGGCCTTGAAGAGGTGATTAAGTTGATGGTTTAATGGTGGCCATGGGCGTGGCTCTGGGGGCTTTAAAAGGGGAGCATGTGAGTCTCTCTCTCTCTCTCTCTGCTCCATTATTTTTTGCCATGTGAGACCCCTGCATTGCTGTAAAGCCACCACCAAAGAAGACCTTCTCGAGATGTGTTCCCTGGACTTTGGACTTCCCAGCTTCCGAAACTGTAAGCAATAAATTTTGTTATCTTACAAATTACCCAATTCCAGGTATTTTGTTATAAGCAACAGAAATGGACTAATACACCATCTGACAACAAAACCTGCTGCTAAACACCGAGTCACAGAGAAGGTGTGACCCTCCAGCCCAAGCATCTCCACACTCCAGAGTGTGTGGAGTTCAGTGGGATGTTGGTAGGTGCTAATAGGGGCCTCCTGGGCAGCAAAATATGGGGAATGCTGTCGTAAAGAAAATTCAAGGGATTTCTTTACAGTGGGGCTTGTCAGAGCCTTGATGTACTAATGCACCACTGTGACTCTCCCAGAGGAGTAGAATCTGCAGGATTTCCCAAACTTACTTGACCAGAGCAATTTCTATTTGGTAGACAAGCTCTTCAGCTTTACAGATGGGGAAATGGAGGCCCAGAGAAAGGAAGCAGTTACCCCAGGGTCACATGGCTAACGTTTTTGAAGATCAGAAAACTATAGTCAGTTGGTGCAAGCCACCTTCCCACCAACTCCTCTCTTCTCCCTCTGCTCTTGGAACTCTGTCCCTTCCTCTGGTACCACTTGGTTCCCATTCCTTAGTTGTCCACTATTACTGATGAAGCCATGGTGTCACCCAGGCCACTGGTAGGAGGAGAAAGGCAGAGCCTGCAGCTCTTCAGGGGCTTGTGCCAGGATGGGATCCACCTCGTGCACTGTTATCATGTGCCCCAGGAGCAAAGGGCAATGGCAGGCAGGCTGCACACACTTTTTATGGCCTGGCCCCCTCCCAGAACAGTAAACACAAGGGCAGGCAGCTGGCACCAGAGCCCTCTGGGGAGACAAGGCCCCAAGCAGCAGATTCCTGCCCACCTCTGGAAGGGAGTTAAGAGGAACGCCTTCTCCCAGGAGTTTTAAAAAATAATACTTTAAGTTCATATTGCTCATATTCTTTTTTTTTTTTTTTCCTTTTTGTCTTTTTTACTGACCAGTAATGGGATCGCAACCCTCGGTGTTGCGCCCGCACAACCCTCGGTGTTGCGCCCGCACAACCCTCGGTGTTGCGCCCGCACAACCCTCGGTGTTGCGCCCGCACTGCGCTCAGCCAGTGAGCGGGAACCAGTCTCCACATGGGATCCGAACCCTGGGCGGGAGCGCCGCTGCACTCACAAGCGGCGCACTCTCCAGTGCACCACCGGGCCGGCCCGCTCATAGTCTTTTTTTTAACCATTCCTCCCTTCTTGGCCTGACCAGTGCCCCACTAGTCCTTTAGGTCTCAGTTCAAACATTACCTCCTCCAGGAAGCCTTTCAGACCTTCTGGGATGAGCGAGGAGCCCATTCTGCATTCCCTGGATGCTCTGGCTCTCTTGATGCCCAGAGCATAGCTGATGGGCCCTGATCCTGTTATATCAGTTACATCTGTATATGTGGCAGTCTTCCCCATTGGCCTGGGAACTTCTGCGGGGCAAGGACTGTGTGCTTCCAGGCCCAGCCATGCTTGGCACATGGAGGTGCACAATGAATGTCATCTGTTCAAAGAAAAACCTGAACTGAAAGTATTAGAAAAGTTCAAAAGACTGATATATTGAGTCTGATGATTTCATTTACAAAATGAACTCAAATTTTTACATAGTCTCATGGACTAACTATAACAATGTCCTGTTTTGATCATTCAAATGCAATTTAAAGGTGACCTTGATGTAGGACTACAAAAACGGGAAGGGAATACACGATTGTTGGTGAAGGGTGAGGATGATTTATACTTCTTAAAAACTTTTTTCTTTAATTTTGTGTATAATGATTTTTATACATTTTTAAAAAGAGAAAAAAATTTATTCTTGACACTGCATCTAAGAGATTCTACCCTATATACAACACCTGCCCAGCTGTGAGCTCTGCTTGGTCCAGAGAAAATCCTCTGAGTGTTCCCTGGGGCCTGAGCACTGATAGACAGCCTGGTGGGGTGGCAGAAAGCTGGCAGGATGAACTCTGCCCCCTTCTCCCCTCCAGGGGCCTCCTTCTCTATCTGGAGGCCTCACCAAGAATGCTAGTGACGGGATATGATTCTGCAGCCCAGAGGGGCAGTCATGGCTTTGTGCCCAGCATCTGGCTGGGGAGAGTTCAAGCATGTTACAGTGGGGGCAGGTGGAGGTGGGGCTGCGGGAAGAGGTATGACCCTCAGGTCATGGTCTGCAACTCTTCCATCTTCTCTCAGCTCCATCCCTTTCTCCAGGGTCGGTCTGGCCCTGTAGCAGCCTCTTAGTCCATCCATCCCACCTCTTGAGCCTATGGAGGAAGAGGTGGGACATGGGACCTTGTCTAGCTGCTCACCCAGCCCTCGGAGCTTGAAATGCCCCCAGGAGAGTGAGACCTCCCACCCTGGACACCTTGACCCCCTGAGGCCTAGAACATAAGGGCTGGCAGAGATTCTCATCCAACAGGCTTGCTGCACAGATGGGCCAAGGGGATGCAGGGGGGCGAGTGGGTGACTTGTCCACAGTGACCCAGAAGGTCAGTGTGGGGCTATGACTCGGACCAGGCCTCCTGGGCCCCACAGGAGCCACACTCCCAGCACCTGAGGCCCTAGGTCCCCTAGCCTACAAGTCTGGGCAGTGTCTATGGCATAAACTCTTCCTTGACAGGCATGGGGGAGGAGGCACCCAGCAGGCTGGCGTTGCTGGGGCACAGGCTCCCCAGGGGTGGCCCGGCTGGGGTGGGGGTGACATCGTGGGCTGGCGGTGGTGGCTGTGGGGGCTGCTGCTGCTGCTTCTTCTTGTTCACTTTGCGCTCCTTTGCCCGCCGGTTTTGGAACCAGATCTTCACCTGTGGGATTGGAGAGCAGAGATGGGGCAAACGGTGGGGAGAGACAGTGACAGCCAGAGGGAAAGAGGGATGACAGTTGAGCTCCTATTTCTTGATGTGCTGTTTGTGGCCTCCCTCCTGCTCCAGTCACCCAGACTTCATGGACCCTAAACACTTCGTCCCCCTTTAGAACTTGCTCCCCTACCCTGACACCCTTCTCTGTAACCTTCCTCCTCCCCATCTTCCAAGGCCATGCTTTAACACCCTCCTCCAGGAAGTGTTCCCTGTACTCCCTGTGACTGCTTCTTCCTCTAGATTTAAATGGCACTTAGACCTCCTACAGCAACTGATCATAGCCTGCTGTCACCTATAGCTAATCAGATCCCCTCATCTCCCTATTTGGGCGGCAAGAATATTGCGTGTCACTGGGGGGAGTTGGCAGCAGCTTAGTTTCTGCTGTGCTGTGTGACCATGGCCTGGAGACTGAACATCTCTGTGTTCCCTCTATGGAGTTCCATAATCTGCCCGGCAACTTAGAGGCCAGATTCCCCACACTGCTCCCATGGCTGAGGTGGGGAGACCCACACACCTGCCGTTCAGTGAGCCCCAGATTGGCGGCCAGTTCTGATTTCCGCCGGATGGTGATATAACGGCTGTAATGGAACTCCTTCTCTAGCTCCAGGCGCTGGTGGTCAGTGTAGACCACACGGTACTTGTCCTTGGTCCGGGTCTTACCTGAGAAGCAGAAGGGGCCAGGAGGGAAGGTGAGTGGGGAGTGGGAAGCTGCAAAAGGTCCAGGCAGGGCCCCCAGGAGGAAGAGCAACCCAGGCTCTCTGCAGGAGGACCCTGAGGTGAGGAGGGACATACAGCCCTGCGGTAACAATCATTCCCCAAGCTCAGTCTTGCAGGCTCACAACCTGGGAGGTAAGTGAGGAGACACTGAGGCTCAGAGAGGGGAACCAACCTGCTCAGGGTTATGCAGCAAGCTGCTGATGGAGCTGGGGCTTCAAACTGCTTCTCCTGACCCAGAACCCCACTCTGATCACCAACTCCCCCAGCTTTAAACCAGCAGTTCCCAGATGCAGCTGCACAACAAACATTTTGGGGGAGCTTATGAAAAACAGCTTCCAGGGCATCCCTGACCAGCTAATCAGAAAGCCGGGGGTGGAATCTAAATTTTTAACAAATTCCCTAGGTGGTTCTGATTCTGGGGTCCTCAGCTCAGGGTCTAAATACCAGTGACATGGAGGGGATACCTGACAGGCAAGAGTAGTGAGATGTCAGCTGCTCCTTCCTCCTGTGCATGAGAAGAGAACAGGGAAGAGCCACTTCAGGTAGAGGTGGAAGCAGAAAGATTCAGGAAGTACCCTGGGCATGGGCTCCCCAGATCCTGCTGAATGCCTGGGGCTGACCCCAAAGTCAGACAGGAAGGACTGGGCTGCTGGCAGACCCAAGACCTTCTAGGTACCTCAAAAAGCCCTGAGCTGGGGATACACCACGGGTCGGGGCTGCCCAAGCCATCCACACTCCTTCTTGTGCCCAGATGCTGGGCAGGAGCAACTCAGCTCTTCCCACATACGAGGGCACTTCAAAAAGTTCATGGAGAAATAGAATTAAGAGACAATACGGGGCCGACCCCGTGGCGCACTCGGGAGAGTGCGGCGCTGGGAGCGCAGCGACGCTCCTGCCGCGGGTTCGGATCCTATATAGGAATGGCCGGTGCGCTCACTGGTTGAGTGCGGTGTGGGCAACACCACACCAAGGGTTGCGATCCCCTTACTGGTCACGAAAAAGACACCAAAAAAAAAAAAAAAAAAAAAGAGACAATACGAATCTTTCCACGAACTCTTTGAAGTACCCTTGTGCACTTACTGAGTGCTGAGCTCCTGCTCTGAGCCAAGCACTAGGGTACAACAGTCAGCAAAATTAAAATAAAAAAAAAAATCCCTGCCCTTGTGAAGCTTAGGTACTAGGGGAGGGAGACAGGCAAAAAGAAAATAAATATGGGAAATATTTGATATGCTAATTGAAAAGTATTTCAGAGGAAAAGAAAGCAAGGAAAGAGGATTGAGAATTTAGGGAGGGTGTGGGTTATGATTTTAAATGGGGCAGCCCATGGAGGCCTTACTGAAAAAGCAAGTTTCAGCAAAGATCTAAAGGAAGTGAGGGGAAGAGTACTACAGATATCTGGGGAAGAAGGTTCCAGGCAGAGAGAACGGCAAGTGCACAGGCCCTGAGGTGGGAGCAGGTCTGCTGTTTGATGCATCTGATGCATCTGAGGCACAGTGAGGAAGCTGGGGGCGTGCTGGGCTTCAGCGAGCATGAGGGCGGAGGTGGGGGGGTAGGACAGGAGGCAAGGGGTTGGACTCTGGGTTTCACTCTGTCTGGGATGGCAGCCATTGCAGGGTTCTGAGCAGAGGAGACACGAGGTCTGAATACTGCTCTGGCTGCTGTGTGGAGAACAGATTGGCAAGAGGAAGGGGGAGCTAAGGAGACCTGCAGTAACCAAGAGAGAGGAGGCGGTGGCTTGGCTTCCATATGGGGCTCAGTCTGGGGCCAGGAGCTGGATCCCAGGACCATCTGGGGTTAATGTCAGGTCTCTCTAGGTCTGTCTGGAGAGAATATTAAGAGTCATGCTTGGCCTGGGCTGGTGTGGGGCTTGGCTAAACACCAGTTCCCTTTGTAAGGAGCTGAGCATGTAGCAATAAATAGGAGGCACATGAAAGCCTACATGCATCCCACCAGGACACGGCAGGTCTTGGAATAATGACCGACCCCCTCCCACCTCACAACAGCCCACCCTTCACCTCTCTGCAGCCCTGGCCCTGACTGTCCCTCAGCACCCCTGCGTTCACTACCTCCCCCTCAGGCCCCTACCCCTCCAGCGAGCCCACGCAGCTTGGCAGGACAGCCACTGGTCTCCCCATGAGCCAAATGGTTTTGTGAAAACGGGAGACAGCAGATGTTCCTGGGCAGCTTCTCTCTGGGTTTCCTGCCAGAACAGCGGGACCGCACCGGATGCTTTTACATCGCCTGACCTTAGTCTGCTGCCCGATGTAGCACGGGACAGCCTCGGCCATCGGCCAGGCCTGGCCCCGGAAAATAGCCAAGGGAGTGGCTGCTGAGGCCTTGGCTCCAGATGGGGCCCCTCCTTGGCCTAGAAAATTCAACAGCATCTCAAAAACAGTTCCGCCTCATGCCACCACCATCAAAACCCAGCATAGCTCTGAATCCACAGCCCCACAGGGCTCAGCAGGCTAAAGCCAGAAGGGGTCATTCATGGGAGTTTGGTCTCCTCCCACATTACAGATGAAGAGACCAAGGTTTACGATGGTTATGTGGCAGCAGGAGGTCCAAATAAGAGATCTGGTGCATCCTTCTAGTCCAAACTCCCTGTGTAGCAAGGGTCACTGGAAGCCCCGACAGGCAGGGACCTGCCCAAGGCTGTGTCTCCTAGTCTAGAGCTCTTGCTGCCCCCTCCCCCCATGCACAACTCTCACCCCCCCCATGTTCAGGGCCCACTAAGCCCACCATGGAGCCCCCAAACACCGGCGACAGCAGCTTAAACAGCAGACCACCCCTGCATCTCTGAGAAAACCCCAGCCTCTAAGAGTCCTGGCCTGGGGCTGGGATGGGAAGGCCCATGGGCTGGGGGCCTGCAAGGCACTCAGAGGACTCATGCGAAGCCCTAGGAGGAAGATGAACCTGAGGCAGGGATGAGGCTCCAGCCCATCCAGACCTCAGCCTTTCCCTCAGGCACCCAGCTCTCCCGCCCTTCCTGAGTAAGCAGGAATCCATTACAGCCATTTCACAGATGGCGGGACTGGGGCTCAGAAAGAAGCACATGCTGAGGGCTGTCCTGCCTGCTGGTGTTATGAACCAGGATTCAGGTGTCCTGACCTCCAGCCTGGCTCTTCCCAAAGTGGGGGTGAGGGTGGGACTAAACAAAGATAGGGCTTTAGCTGCACAATTACTCCTCTCTGCCCTGTGTCCTGGCGAGGCTGCTGTGAAGACCTGGCCCTCAGGCCTTGGCACCCTTCTCAGGGCTCTGGAGGGGGGCTGGTGGGCTGAGGAACCCATTGGCCAGTTTCTATCTGGTGGAGCTGCTTGAAGCACACGATTTTATCGCTAAGAAAACAGCTCTGCCAAAGAACAAAATGTTTGCTATCACACCGCGTGGCTCAGAAATGAGAGAATCCCACGCGCTGTCCAGGGAGTGAGAACTGAAGCATCCTCCTCAGAGCCCCACTTGGTGATATCCAGCCTCATCAAACATGCCCTTACCCTTTGACCCATGAATCCCCCTTCCAGGAGTCAATCCCACTTCCAGGAGTTGATCCCACAGAGAACTTCCCAAGGCTGGATCTGTTTATAATTGCACGAGACTAAAAACAACGTACATGTCTGCAGGTAGGGAACTGGCTAAAGAAGAAAGTACATCCATGGAGAGGAGAAGTCATTAAAAAGAAATAATAGTGCTGGCTGGTTAGTTTGCTTGATTAGAATGTGGTGCTGGTAACACCAGATCCCCATACTGGCCAGCTGCTACAAAAAAAAAAAAAGAAGAAAGAAAATTATAAAATTCTATATGTACCAACATGTAGCAATTTCTAAGATATGTGGGGAAAAAGCAGCAAGGCATAGAATGGTGTAAATAGTATATCACTGTCTTTGTGTAAAAACAGGGAGACACATTCATACATGTTTGTGCACCCATATAGTTCTTTCTGAAAGAATATACAAGAAACCAATAATAGGGGCTGTCTCTGGAGAGGGGAACTGGAGACTGGAAAGCCACAGGTAGGAGGAAGACCTTAGGATGTTTAAATTTTTACCACCTATGGATGCGAATTTGTGTTTTTAGTGATGGTCAGGAGCCCTGGGTTCCAGTCCCAGCTCTGGGCCAGAACTCCTGACTGTGCCAAGCCATCCTTCCCCCTTCTCTGAGCACCCGTGCCACCTCTGGAGCCCAGGAAGGAGGGGGCAGTGAGGTGCGTGAGAGCGACGGGGCAGGGAGAGGGCCCGAGATGAATGATTTACTGGCCCCTGGGACACTGGGGTTAAGGGGGAAGTCCAGGCTTCTATAACAGGTGTCTGATGAGGGGCCAGTCATTCCCAGCCACCTAATGACTAACACTCTGGGCCAGATGCCATCAGGAGTTGGGGGGAGGAAGGGTGGGGAGCCCACCCCCAGCTCTTCATGGGTGAGCACAGGAGGGAAGAGCCTCAGATAACTCACCAAATGAGAAGCTTTATCTCTGCTCTCACTTTAGGATGCACAAAACGGTGCATCTATGTGCTCAGGCTGCCATGAGAGGTAGCAAACTCCCCATCCCCTAAAGCATGCCAGTAGAGGTCCTGGGAAGCTACAGGCTAATGGTTCCAAATGCCTGACCAGCAGCCTGAGAACTGCCTGGGGAGCTTTTTCAAAGCACAGATTCTGGCCCCAGAAATTAAAATTTGGTGGGACTGAAATGGGGCTCAGGGATTTGGTGCTTGAATAGCTCTCCAGGTGACTCTGACATGTGGTTGTTTGGACAAGCAAACCTCTGGGTTGGATAGTACAGCTTCTCACTGAATGGGTGACCTAGGACAGTCTCCTCACCTCTCTGAACTTC